CCTATCCCACCTACTCGACCCCATCTGAGAAGACTCTACGGTAGGTTCGTGTCGTGTCGACTGGCGGCGACCCCACCAGCGGCGTTCGACTTTGAACGCCGCGGGCGACCCAGAACCGTTCGATGTGCAACGACTTGGACGCTTCGGAAACGGCCGATCGTTCCAGGTTGACCAATCCCCGCGGTGTCAGACACCAATGCCGAAGTCGGCGCGACACGAGCCTGCCGTAGCTGCGTCGACGTCGACGCGTCGCCGACGTCGCCGATGCACCGACGATGCATCGTCGATGCATCGCGGATGCATCGGTGATGCGGCGCGATCTTCCGACCCCACCTATAGTGGGGGCCCATGCCACGAAGCACCTTGCTTGCCTCCAGGATGCCGTGGGTTTCTTGGGTTCCGATGGTTTTGCTGCGGAGAGCGTTGCGTTCCTACACCAGACATTCATGGACGTCTTGGGGTCTCAGGGCTGTGTTTCCTGTGGAAGGTCTCTTGTGGACTGGCCTCCAATGTACTAATCTCCATCTCACCACCCACCAAAGCACCCCAACCCAACCCGAAGGCCTGAACTTGCACTCCATTTCCAGTGGGGGGGGAACATTGAAACATCACACATGAAGCCCGTACCCCCCCAAACCCGAAGTGTTGGTCTTCGGGTTGGGTTGGGGTGGTCTGGTAGGTAGTCACCATCTGAGAAGCGTCTAGCTGCGGAGGCGATGGCGACATGCTCGGCCCCTCGGCTTCCCACAGGCGCAGGGCGTCGTGCCGTTCACGGCCAGCCTCGGCAAGACAGCTGAGGACCTCGAGGCCCTGGCGGCCAGCCTCACCGTGGGCGCCAGCCCCACAGGCTCGCCTCTGCGGGACAGCTCCTCCCCCTCCTCCTCCTTCTCGTCCTCCTCCTCCTCCCCTTCCTCTCCTCTTCCTCCTCTTCCCCCTCCTCCTCCTCCTCTTCCTCTCCTCCTCCTCATCCTCCTCTCTCCTCCTCCTCCTCCTCCTCCTCCTCCTCCTCCTCCTCCTCCTCCTCCTCCTCCTCCTCCTCCTCCCCTTACTCCCCGCGCTACTCCGACGGCGGAACCCCCTACAGCGCCGCCTGGAACGGGCTCAAGCTGCATTGAGTATAAAACAGCCTCTTACCCGAATAACTCGGAGGAGGAAGGGTACCCATACCGCTACCCGTCGCCCGTTTTCCCCTTTTTGGGCCGCCTTGGATGCCCTCGTCGCCGCCGCTGGATTCGCCTCGGAATTCTGGTCAGAGCGCACCCCGGGAGAGGTCTGGGGAGTAGCGGTATCAGTACCTTGTGGTTTCCCAGTAACACAATGAATTCGCGGCTTGGCTTAGGTCCACGCTTTTCTCAGGGACAGCCGTAAACATTTTGGTGGTTTCGCATGGGGCATGTTCAAAACGTTTTCCTATCCCTGATGTATTCTGGCCCTCTGCAGGGCCCCGCCCACTCCGGCCGCCTGAGGCCCCGCCTTCCTGTGCCCTGTCTCCCTAATTAAAGCTGTGCGTAGCCCGCCTAGCTTTTAGCGGAAGAGGTTCGCTCTCGCCCCGCAGACCACAAAAATGTATTCTGGCCCACCTTGCTTAGATCCCCTCCCACAGGATTATGGGCACTTCGAAGGCTTCTCAGAAGCTGGCCCATGGTGACCAGCGTCGACTTCGGAGCACTGTGGGCGAACGACACATCCGCACCCGCAGCCTCGAGGGCCCGGCCCCTGGGGCGCGACCCCGCGGATGCTTTGTTTGTCTTGTTCGCGGGTGCCCCTCGCGGAGCGTATCCGTGCGACCTCGGGTCCGCGGGATCGCGCCCCAGAGTCCAGACCACGAGGGCGCGGACACGGATATGATGGCCGCTCGCGAAGGCAGTCCCAGAAGAAATTCCAGGGAGATCCCAACCAGGAGCGTTCTGATGTCTTCGTTTCCGTTGTCTTTGCACGACTTGCCCTTCGCTGTTTGATTCACCCTTGCAGGTCAAAGATGCCCCTCAGCGAGATGTTACTGGCTCAGGCCCATACATCCTGACAGCATGGTGCGCCTTTTTCTCGACATGGCCGTCATTCTCGTTCTTATATTTGATTCCGTCAGCGTGCCATACCAGATAAGTTTCAACCCTGACGTCACGGCAAGTTTCTGGCTCATTGGGAATTTGATGACTTTGTTGGTTTGGTCGTTGGATTTGTGTGCCGGTTTTTTTACCGGCTATTACGACATGGGCGGGGTAGTCATGAACGTTCGGAAAATTACGAAGCGCTACCTCAGCTCGTTCTTTATCATTGACCTGTTGACTGTTGGTACCGATTGGCTAAGCATGACATTCAACCTCCTCATTATATCTGGCAGCACCCTGGTGGACGGGAACGGTAACAACACCACCTTTCTGAAGCTGTTCCGCGTGCTCAAATTAAATCGGATGATCCGACTTGTAGGGGCTCTGCAGAGCGGAAAGTTCGGCCAACTGCACGACCGGCTCATCAGTTGGTCTTGGCAGCTCGGCGTGGATCGCCAATTGCAGTTTGGCGTGAGCGTCATGTACCTCACGTTCGCAGTCTTGTGGTTGAACCACATCGGTTGTTGTTTCTGGACTTATGGGTTTCAAGATGCGCCCATGCATCATGACACGTTTCCTCTTCTCCGTCCCCCATTTCCTCTGAGTCCCCACAGGATGTCGGAGCATGAGTTGTTTCAGTCACAGTCCACCCCCTTTCCTCACAGGAATGCGATCTACGACGAGGGGGTCCGGAAGTGGGAGGGGCAGGCAAAAATATTTGGCGAGGACCCCGCCACGGATACGGAGAGCCATAGATCCGACATGTGGCAGTATTGCCTTGGTTTTTGTTGGTCTATGACCTCCATGGCGTCGGGCTCAAGCATAATGAACCCGACTAACATGACCGAGCTTGTGTTCACAATCAGCTACGTGCTCTTCGGTCTCCTCGTCGGCAGCTCGCTCATTTCCTCGCTGGCAGCCATGCTGCTGGACCTGCAGATGAACAGCAAGGAGAAGAGGGACAGCATCCGGCGGCTGCGGCAGTACCTGTACCAACAGGGCCTGGAGGTGGGCCTCTCCCTCGCCGTGGAGAAGGAGGTCGTGTCCCGCATTTCGCAGGAGAAGCGCCTTGGGGCCAACGAGGTGGAGTGCCTGGCCCTCCTGTCTGCAGCCATGCGCTCCTCCCTCAACTACGCCATATACTGCAAGCCGCTGAGGCAGCATTCGTTCCTCGGGGCATGCGACGTCCTTGACAGGTCGGGCGTGTTTACCAGGGAGCTCTGTGAGTATGCCGTTTGTCACGCTACCGTTAGACCTGGGCACCCAGTGTTCACGCACGGCGAGCATTGCGACGGACCATTCTATATCGTATTGGGCGAGCTTGAGTACCTGTGCAAGGCGAGGGAACCTGACGTGGTGGTACAGTCCAAACGGGCTTCTAAGGGCGAGTCGAAGGAGCAGCATGTGACAGTCAAGACTGGCCAGTGGCTATGCGAGATGGCCAGCGGGCAAGTGGACCCCCCCTCCCGGTCCCGATTGGCCGGAACGAAGTAGATTTTGCCCACGACGAGCCGTGAGGGGCGAGGACGGGTTCGGCAGGGTGACACATGTTGGGTCGGTGGTGAGGGGTTGACGGGGGAGGTGGTGAAGGGAAGGGAAAGGTGGACGGGTGGCGTTGGGGGGGGGGAGAGGTGTTTCATGCCGAGCAGGCGATCTGGTTGGAATGGAAGTGCAGGGGCTCGCTGGAAGCGTGCGTGCCGAGCGAGTATTTCCAGCTGAAGGCGGACGTGCTGTTACAGAACCTCTCGCAGTCTCAGGACCTGGCGTTCATGGCCCGCGCGTACGGGGAGGCCCTGTGCAACGCGGTGGAGACCGAGGACAGGGTCGAACGGGCAGGCCACTGCACGAGGTTGCTCACCTATCAGCTGCATGCAAATCGGATGGATAGCCTCGTGAAACCGTCATGCGAATGTTGATATGCGGTCGCAGCAGGGATGGAACGCGAGAGGTTGGATGATGGGTGTGTGGGGGGGGGGCGGGGTCCAGACATCCGACGATGTGGTTGTGCCACTGCGAGGGCACTAAAGGTGTTGACCCCCTCCCCGGGGGGGGCGTGTTTCGTCCTAGAAGGTCGTTTTGAAAATTCCAGACGTTTCGCGATGCCCAGGCGAGTTGCCTTGATCAGGCATGTGGGGGGCCACGCAGTGGAATAAAGGCTGGGAGGCCGTGTCATGCCCCACGAGGGGAGTGATGGAGGAGGAATTGTGGGAGAAGGAGGAGGAGGAGGAGGGAGAGGACGAGGGGGAGGGGGAGGGGGAGGTGGGAGGATGGAGGAGGGAGGAGGGTAGAGGGTGGGAGGAGGAGGATAAGGGGGATGAGGAGGAGGAGGAGGAGGAGGAGGAGGAGGAGGAGGAGGAGGTCGAGCAGAAAGGCCAGACGCCTCTTGGATGCCTTTCGGAGTGTTTTCGGCTGTATGTTGAGAGCCCCTTGTAGACCTCTTGGGGCATCTGGGGGTCCTCGTGCCAGTCCCGGGGGGCCTCTTGACGCATCTTGGGTGCCTCGGGGGAGCCTCTCCAGGCCTCTTGGAGGCCTCCTGGGAGTCCTCTTAGGGGCCTCTTGGGGGCATCCTGGGGAATATTGGAGGCCTCTTGGAGCCTCCTCGGGAGCCTCGGGGTCCATCATGGGGCGATCTTGGAGGAGATCGATCAAAGGACGGACTGCAGTGGATCAGTTCCCCCTCCCAGGAGGCCAACACGTGGCCAACACCTCAGCAGCGTCAGATGGTTGGGCCTTCTCGCCGAGGCCTCCTGGGGGGCGTCTCGGGTGCCTCTTGGGGGGGCCTCTTGGGGTCTCTTGGGGGCCTCTTGGGAGCCTCTTGTGGGGGACACTGGGCCTCCTGGGGGCCTCTTGGGGGCAAAACTGGCACCTCTGGGGGGCCCATCTCGGGGCCATCCGTCCCTCCGCGTATGATGTTATCGCAGGTGTATTCTCAAAGAGGAGGAGGAGGAGGAGGAGGAGGAGGAGAAGAAGGAGGAGGAGGAGGAGGAGGAGAGGAAGGAAGGAGGAGATGGAGGAGGAGGAGGAGGAGGAGGAAGGCATGTATTATACACAACCGTTCCTGATACATATCCGAGGCTGGCATGAACAGCCCCACCCGCAGAGTCGGCTGCGGTCGCCCCAGTGGGACGCCGCACCAGTGCTGCTGTGACCCGCCGGGGCCCCCCCGATGTAGGAGAGCGAGCCGCTGACCGACCTGCCCCTGAAGGAGGAGCTCCACCAGAGCGCCGTGCTCTCCATGCCGCCGCAGGCCCGCCCCCGGATCCGGCACGCCGCCCTGGCACTGTGTCCGGTGACCTCAGCCCCTCAGATGGGGCGGGAGCAGATGAGGTCGGGGGATCGCGCCGCGCCGTCGATGCATCGGCGCTTCGGCCCGATGTAGGGCCCGAGTTTTGCCACGCCGGCGTCGCCGATGCACCGCCGACGTCGCCGATGCATCGGCGATGCATCGGTGGCGTGGCGCGGTCCTCCGACCCCAGCTGGGGGGTCTCCACCGATCCTCCGACCGGGGAGCCCTCCGACCGGCCTGCGTGCCTGCCCACCGGCCCGAAGACCAGGTGCCCGGCCTGCCTACACCTTGGGCGATGCTTCAGAAAACGTAAGGTTTCGGCCAGAGTCTCGCCTTTTCTTACTGTTTCGATGTAAAGCCTAAACTTTGAATAGGATTTTTGGGTTTTTTTATTCAAATCCTGAGACTATGAATTTCTTAACCCATGATTTCTTAAGCATTTCGCAGGGTGTACTCCCAGATACCCGTGCGAGGCTGTATCCAGGAGGTCGTCTCGGGAGGGAGACCTTCTGAATGGACTCCAGGTGCCCTGCGTGTGGGAGGCCTTCCAAGTGAGCCGCACGGATGCAACATCACGCCGAATCAGCAAGCGAGTTCTCGATTGATTGTAGGAGGCACCCACATGGCATTCACAAGTGTTCCATCGTATTGTAGACGGTGGGGCCGAGGCAGTAAGCCTCCGTTGCGACACAGGCAAACAAGGCAATCTATTCGGGGCAGGGTAGGGAGCGGCAGGGCATGGTAGGTTGTAGGACAGGGTAGGGGGGGAAGAGGGAGATTCGAGCAAGTAGAGTAAAGAAGGGTGGGGTTACAGTGGAGAGGTGGAGGGGGGGGGTCCTGGTGGGGGTAGAAGGTCTGGTAGGGTAGGGTAAAGCTAGGTCCAAGGCGGTCCAGTCCTAAAAGGACAGCGGGAAGCTGTCTCGCTCTTTCCCACCCGCTCGCCCAGTTTTTAAGTAGCACCATGTTTATGTGCGCTTTCCCACCAGCCCTTCCAGAAACAATGGCCCAGGCGAATTGCCTTGATCAGGAAAGTGTAGTAGCTCGGGGGGGGCGTCCTTGGGAGCCTCCGTGACCATTCTCTTGGATGCATGTCGGAAGCCCTTCTCAGCCATTTTGCTTGTCTCCTCCGACCCTCTTGAAAGCCTTTGGAACTTTGGCGGACTTCGTTCCAACAAAGTGGCGGCGCGGAGTATGGATGCCCCTCGTGGGCTCGCAACGCCACCTCTTGAAGCCCTCTTGGGGCGTTCATGGCGGGGTCGTTCTTGGGACCCTCCATTGGGAGCCCCCCTCGTCGCTCTGGATCTGATTTCGGAGGGGGGGTCCCTCGATTTCGACACCCCCCTCGGGAATGTTCCAGGGCAGGTGAACTTGACATGCATTCCCAGTTCTAACAACCCCAGCTGGCTAGGTGAGGATCATACGGTAGGTTCGCGCCGCGTTGACTTGGCGCCGACCCAGAGCGGGCGTTGGAAGTGTTGACGCCGCCAGTGGCCTGAAGCTCGCTGCCATCAAGCGATTCGTGTTATATAATCGGGGGGGAGTCCAGGGGCTATGAGGAAAAATGCTGGAGGCCTCGCGCGGCGCGTAATAGTTGTATTATCTAATCCACACGTCTATGGGTCGACGCTTTCGCGGCGATGCTCCAGCGTCAGTCCGATGTACATCCGATGTAAATCCGACGTAGTCCGACGGGAACCCGACGTAGATCCGACGTGGATCCGACCTACATCGGGTCTCAAGTTACCGCGCGAGGCCTCCAGGAGTTTCTTCATAAGAGGGGTGTGGGTGAGGATTAGGGGGGGTTGATGTCATGGCCCGGAGTATGCAATTTCCCAGACCTCATTCGGGCCGGGCGAAAGGGGGGGATTGGGAAAGGGGGGGGTACGAAATTTGCTGCATGCAGTTGGTTTCGGCCTCACCGAGGGTCCCATTCCTCGACACATGGCCGCCTCTGGCGCCGGGAGGTGCCGGGGAAATCAGCTACGTGAGCTGATTCTCAAACCCCCCCTTTGCTATCCCCCCCCTTTCGCCCGACCCGACTCATGGCCCCCTCCTCGCTCCATACGCTCCCTGGCCCCCCCTCTCTCGCGCACGTGGCACGGGCCATGATGCGTCACTCCCCGTCGGCCTGGCCCTCCTCCTCCGCCGCGCCAGAGAACGGAAAGCTGAGATCACTCGAGGTCGAGCGATCGACGCAAAAATAATTCCAATGATACTAGAACTAAGAATAGAAAATGATAGTTATACTAAGCATAAAGCTAGTAATCATCATGATTCGCTCTGTGATAATACAGACACATCGTCAATAAAAAAGGGCCGAACGATCATCGCGGCGTCCGAAACCAACGCCGAAGTGGCTACTCAATAAGTCAGCTGGCGCGCCCCCTGGGCGGCACAGACACGTCCGAAAACGTCGAACCTCTCTCAGCGAACCCCGAGGGCGCGAAAGTCATGCCGCCGCCCAGCGGCGCACAGCTGCTTCGGGGCGAGCGAAGAAGAAGATTGGTCGTTATGCAGTTTCCCCGATCCCGCCGCAAGCATTCAAGAGGGCGCTCTGGAGTGGCCCCGGCGCCCGGTACTTCCAGACCCGCCAGCTCTCATAGACTCTCCCGACAATGTCTTCTCCCCTCCTCCTCCTGTGAATCCTCCTCCTCCTCCTCAACCCCCTCCTCCTATTAATCCTCCTCCTTCACGTATGAATCCTCCTCCTCCTCTCCCCCCCCTCCTATAATCCTCCTCCCTTTCCTCTCCCTCCTCCTCCTCCTCCTCCTCCTCCTCCTCCTCCTCCTCCTGTTCCTCGTCCTCCTATTCCTTCTCATACTCATATTCCTTCTCCTCCTCATCCCCCTCCTCCTCCTCCTTCTCCTCATCCTCCTCCTCCTTTGCCTCCTCCTCCTCCTCCTTCTCCTCCTCGTCCTCCCCCTCCTCCTCCTCCTCCTCCTCCTCCTCCTCCTCCTCCTCCTCCTCCTCCTCGGATCAGTGCTGACCCCCGGTACGGCTTCGGGGGGACAAACATCGATCTCCCGACCTGTCCGGGGGTGCGTTCTGGTGCAGGCCGCCCCACAAGCGCCCAGAAACCTCGATCCTCGAACCTCGAGCCTCGGAACGCCCCGCACTCGTGACACGAGCATCACAGGCTTCCTTTCGAAGCGATCGACACGATTCGATGTCGGTCATGCCTGGACCCATCCGATTCGATTCTGATATTCCGACGACCCGATACGGCCCGGCAGTTGCATGGCGTTGCTCTTGGTGCAGCCGATCCGATTCGATTCCGACGCCGTGCCGAAGCGACCCGATCCGACGCACAATTGGCGCGAGCCTGAAAGGTCTTCGCCCTCGAAGATCAAGGGAGTCAGCATCTCTTCCTTGGCGGAAGACCGTGGAAGGTCGGCGGGAGTTGGCGGAGGTAAAACGAGGTCGACTCCGCTGGCCGAAGCCAGCAGAAGGCTGGCGGAAGCCAGCGGAAGTAGTACATGCGCCCACACGAGAAGGTCACATTTTAGCTTTAGGATAAACAAAGTGTGCCTTTGACGAGCCCAGGATGTCAGGATGCCGTCCCGCATCCTGACAGCATGCCCGGCAGGATGGCAGGATCAGGAAGAATCCCCAGGCGTCGAATCAGCAAGCATTGCACCAACGTGCATTTTCTGAGTGTCGGGCGGATCTCTTGGATCGGCGCTGGACCCCCCGAGCGCGCCATGGGCCTGCGCCGGAGGCGCCGCCAGAGGCCCACAGCGCTGGTCCAACATATCCGCTCGGAGCAACAGCCGTTCATGCTTACGCAGTTCCTCCTCCTCCCACTCCGACTGGATCCTGACCGATCTTGGCCTCGCGCCGCCGCTCGGCGGCGGAGGCCTCTGCCTCCCCGCGCCCCGCCAGGGCCGCAGGGGCATGTCCGTCGCCGCGGTGCGGCTGCTCGAGTCGGAGCAGGGCAGGCACCGCCTCACCTTCGGCCGCTCCCCGCCGATCCCGAAGCTGATCGAGCAGGTGCCCCGCGGGCGGCGAGCAGAGCCGCGGCCACACCTCGGGGGAAGCGTCAGACTCGGGCCTCCTCCTCCTCCTCCTCCTCCTCCTCCTCCTCCTCCTCCTCCTCCGTCTCCTCCTCCTCCTCCTCCTCCTCCCCCTCTTCCTCCTTCCTCCTCCCCGGAGCTCGGCCCGGCCGGCGCGTTTCGACGAGCGCGCCCCCGGGGTCTCTCGACGGCGCGGTGTCCGCGGGGCGTCTGCAGCGGGAGCGCGCGCCGGGTTTTCGAGTGGGTCTCGTCGCTTCCACGAGGGCCCAAGGCAGGCCAGCCCGAGGCCCCCGAACCCGAGTCTTGCGTCTGTCCGACACATCGCAGAGGGGGACAACTCAGGGCGGGAGTGTTTCTTCAGGCCGCGGCACCGTCAAAGAACGACGCGGGATGCGGAGCTGGCTCTGGGGAGCGGGTCGGGAGGTCCGGTGGCCGCGTATGGAACAATCAGAACATCGCATGTCCAGGAGAGGTATCGTTACCGCTGCCCCTCCCTGATTTCGTCTTCTCGGTGAATGAAGGATTGCCTTAACATAATCGTGTCGGGAGGTCCGGTGGCCGCGTATGGGACAATCAAAACATCGCATGTCCAGGAAAGGTATCCTTACCACTACCCTCCCCCGATTTCGTCTTCTCGATGAATGACGGATTGCCTTCACATGATAGTGTCGGAGTTCCGCGCTGGTTTCTCTGATCTGCGCTAGGGCCCCCCTGGCGGCGCCTCTGGCGTCGCCCCCGGCGCGCTCCGCGCGCCAGGGAGGGGGGCCCAGCGCAGATCCAAGTAATCCACGCGGACTTGTAGTTTGTTGTTTGTTCCTCCTCGATGTTGTTCCTCGATGTTTGGTAGTATATCGATGTTGTTCCTCGATGTTGCTCCTCGATGTTGTTCCTCGATGTTTGATCCGAAAGTGTATGCTACTGTAGTTTGTTGGTCCTCGATGTTGGGGGGCCTCCTGGGAGGCCCGCGTCGCCACGGCTTGGTTTGCCTCGACCGGCTGTGCAGAGCGCACCTCTTGGGAGAGGTCCAGGGAGGGACGGTAGCAGTACCTTCAGGTCGGGCCTGGCCCCCTACAGGGGGATTTTCGACGAAAAATAACAAATACCCCCAAAATAGTAAAAAATAGTCCAAGAATAGTCTGGGGACTACTTTTTGAGTATTGTTTCACCTGTTTGGTGCATTTGTGGGGGATTTTTCATTCTTCGTCGAAAATCCCCCTGTAGGGGGACAGGCCCGATTTAACAGTACCTTTCCGTTGTCGATCCGTTCGCGGCCCAGACGCCGAGGCGCGATCCCATGGACGCGCGGTCCCGTGGATGCGTTCCACGTCGGGCCTCGGCGCAGGGCCGCCCTCACGGAGGGTCTCAGCCGAGGGCCCGGACTGCGAGGGCCGTGGGTCTGCGCATTGTGTTTTGCCCACGAAGGTGGAGCAGGGCAAGTGCGACCTCGTGATCGTCCATGGCCAGGTGCGCATGGCCTGTCTCGCGCAAGTGTGCAGTGTCTCTCCCCGAGTCGGTGCCTTCTCTTCAGTTGCATCCTTGCAGCTCAGGCGTGGCCCTCGAAGTGTGCAGTGATTGTGCTGGATGGGTCAGGTCTGGTCACGATGTGTCTATTATGGTTGGCCGTGTTTGCGCAATTCCATGATTTCTTTATTTAGTTGTTTTATCCGTATTATTATTATTAACATGATTTTATTGACTATCTGTCGTCCAAAATCCGCCTGTAGGAGGGCACGCCCTACCTGAGGTTGGGCTCCGAAAGAGCCTCTCCGAGGCCACCTCCCTTCAGGACCCTCGGGTCTCCGAGTTCCGAGGTAAATCAGCTGGCCGACAAGCGGGGCCAAGGCTGGCGCTGCGCTGCGGTGGGTCTCCCAGCAGGGCAAGAGACTTGGTGGAAGCCTGCGAGCGTACAGTCGGGGCCCTGAAGAAGGAACCCTTTTCGTTGGGGAGGGGCTCCGCGTTCCTTAAGTGTTTCGCAGCTTGCCTCAGGTTCTCCTTATGCTTTCGATCGGAAAACGAAGTTTAACTTATGGAAAAAAGGGGCCTCGTTCCTTATTTTGGGTTCCTCAGGTCAAGGCCCCGACTGTAGGGCCGAGCATGTGTCCCTGTGGCTCGGTAGGCTCCACGGGTGGCTGCACGCTGCGTGCTCCCAAGAAGCACACGGAGAGCCGGAGCCGCGGCCGATCTGCGAAGCTGCCTTGTCGTGGACGTGTTTCTCAGAGCTCGAGGCCGACGAGGCGTTGGAGGAGCACTCTGCGAACGTAGGGAGGCGCTCCAATCTCGCACATTGCACGGCCGCGAGAGTTGGACCCCGAGGGAGCTGCGGCCCCCAGCTCCTCCTTCCTCCTCCTTCCTCCTCCTTCCTCCTCCTTCCTCCTCCTTCCTCCTCCCTCCTCCTCTCCTCCTCCTCCTCCTCCTCCTCCTCCACCTCCTCCTCCTCCTCCTCCTCCTCCTCCTCCACCTCCTGCTCCTCCCTCCCTCCTCCTCCTCCTCCTCCTCCTCCTCCTCCTCCTCCTCCTCCTCCTCCTCCTCCCCCCCCTTCCCCCCCCCTCCCCTCCAGTTGTAAGGAGCTATGGCCGTCTCCAGCCGTGGCCGTGTGCGTGGGCGCGAGATAGCGCAGGCGTCTGCGCCTGGGCTCGTTCACGAAGCGCCAGTTCTGTTCGGACGGGGCCTTGGTGCCAGCGTGCAGGACAATCGCAGGCCTGGGCCAGGCCTTGAGGCTGTGTGCGAAGGAAACGCCCACCCTGGTCTTGCCACTCATGGGGGCAGGTTCCGGACAGGCTTACATCCTAATTCGTCACAAGCCCCACCCCCAAGTTCGAGTCGGTCGTTACACCGTCATGGGAGGGCCGAGCTTTGGGGGTGGGCAAACTGCGTGTCTCCTGTGGCTCGGGTCCCGAGACCGGGAGGAGAGCTTCGACTTAGGCTCAAGATGTCCTCGGGTTCCACTCCATTTTCATGGTTTTATAAAACAAGCGCGCTGGATGCGATGGAGCGTGCTTCATTGTCTATTACTGCCTGCTACAGCCTTCCGATGCATCCTCGTCGGCCTCCTCTCTCCCATACCCTACTTTCCTTGTTGCAGCTTCACCATCTCACCCTGCATCTCGCCGTATGAGACGCAGGTCCCCTCCCCCGCTGACTTCTCCCGTGCTTCTCCCATAACTTGCTCTTCCCCCATGAGTGGTGCACTGTCAATGGCTTGGGCAGACCAGGTGGTCCGCGTGGTGTCCGTGGTGGTTCTTCGGCTGGAGCCCGCGGGGGGGCCTCCGGGGGGATGGGGCGGGGGCGGGGGGGGCGGGCAGAGGCGGAGGGGGCCGCGACGGTCCAGGAGAGCGTCTGGCATACCTCGGAGGAGGCTCGTGCTCAAAAATTTCTCCCGCCCGCCCAGTCCTCCCAGGCGCGCCATTGATCGTGATCGCCGTTCAAAGGCTGCAGGAGATGGCCAGTAAAGATGTTGAGTCCAGGCGCTGTCTGTCCTGGTACATGCGGCAGGCTCTGCCGCCGTGCCAAACGCGGGTCCCGAGGAATCGTCCACGAGGCAATAGGCTTTGACAGCCCTTGTCCCCAGGCTCCAGAGGACCGTAACATGTAACGCCGAAGAGGTCGCCACATGCGATAGTTCCCCCATCAGCGCTTGCATTGCAGGGAGTCTGGCGGAAGTTGTGAGGATTTTGTGAAAGCGAGCCCCTGGATTTCGCTGGGCGGTGTCATCTGCACGGGGTGCCGCGACACGCAAAGCGTGGAGTTTGTGCTCTGTGCTCAGAATGCCCAGCGAGAGCAGACCCCCACACCACAGCCGCCCTTGGAGGCTGACTCATAATCGTTCTGGCAGTGGCGCCTGCCTGCCTAAGCTGGACTGATCTGCCTGGTCACTCTTGGGGCCTCTTGGGGGCCTCTTGGGCACCCCTTGGGTGCCTCTTGGGTCCTCCTTGGGGTCTCTTGGGGCGGAAGGCTCGGATTGTCGGTTCGTGTTCCCTCTTTTGGGCAGTTTTTGGGGGCCGTCTAGGGGCGCTCTTAGGCCGTCTTGGGCGCCTCTTGGGCCGTCTCGGGGCGCTCTTAGGCCGTCTTGGGGCCCTCTTGGAGGCCTCTTGGTCCGTTTTGGGGTGGTCTTGGGGGCCTGTTGAGCGGTCTTTGAGCGTCGGAAAGCCGAACAATCGGGAACGCCCAAATCATATTTCAAAATCCATGGTTTGTGCCTCTTGGCACCCTCTTGGGAGGCCTTTTTGAGGCCTCTTGGGCCGTCTTGAAACCATCTCGGATGTCTTCGAGCGATCGTTAGGCGACTCGGGGCCTCCTGGGGGCCTCATGGACCGTCTTGGGCCTTTTGGACCGTTTTTGAGCGATCGTTCGGCCTCTTGGACCGTCTTGGGGGGCTCCTGGGCCGTCATGGAAGCCTCGGAGGGCCCCAGGGAGGCGCCATGGCCGCCCAGGGAGCCCCCGGGAGTAGGGGTAGTGCAGTCGGGTGAGCGTGACCAGGTGAGTGGGGGGGTCCCATAGAAGACTACAGCAACCTCGTGAGGCAGCCCTTGGCATTCTTTCATGCCTCAACGTGCCGCAGACACGGTGGCGGATTGCCCGGCTAACAGCCCGTGCGACATGACACATGTCGACAACATGATTTGGCCATAACATCATGACGACAAGGAAAGTTGCCACCACTACCGCTGCATGTCTGAGGCGCGCCCAATAGCGTCCTAGAAGGTGTTGGCCTGGGTCGCTGATAAGGCAAACCAAGAATCGGATCAACTGGCTCAGAAAGGCACCGAGAGATTATCCGAGCTTCTCTCCGAACCACTTCAGCAACTTCGCCAGCATTGTGCTGAACCAACTCTCGTAGCCCACGTCGCAACTGGGGTCCGTGGCGGGGCCGGGCGAGCGCTTGTCTTTGCCCCGCTGTTGCTTGGTCGGGGGGGGGGGCGCTGGGGGATCCCTTGCAAATTTGGGCGACTCCTCCGCAGCTCCCTCGAGCTCCTCTTCTCACTGAATACCCTCGTCGCGGTAGTAGTAGCCGAAGAGGTTGGCAACCTGCGGGTCAATGCGCGAAAAAGGAGACGAATGTGGAGTAGCAGCAGCATCCTTCTCCTCCTAGTCCTCGGGACCTCCTCATGACATTGTTTTTTATATCGCCCACCCTATATTGCTTGCCACGGAGGGTCCCCCCCTCCCCGAACGGTAACAATCGTACGGCGGGCGGTGGCGCGAATTTTGCCGCCCCGTGCGCGCGGCGTACACATGCACTGTTGTTCATGCAAGCGCTGAACGCCGGCGCTGTGTTGCACGCGGCTATTGTGCTTTACTCAGGCGCTGTGGTGCGCGCAAGCACCCCTGCCTTGGCGATAGCAGAAGATGAGTTTCCTCCCGAGGAGGAAGAGGAGGAGGAGGAGGAGGAGGAGGAGGAGGAGGAGGAAGGAGGGAGCAGGATGACGAGGACAGCGCGAGGACAGCACTAGCACGAGGACAGCACCAGCACGAGGACAGCACCGGCACGAGGACAGTACTAGCACGAGGAGGGAAGGGGCGTCGACGAGGCGCGCCGAGGAGGAGCGGCGAGGCCAAGGAGGAGGAACGCCGAGGAGGAGCGCCGGGGAGGAGCGGCGGGAGCGGGTGGCGGCGGCGGCGGCCGGGAGCGGCGGCGGGGCGGCTCCAGCAGCAGCGGCGGGCGGACCGGGGGCGAAGGGAGGAGCGGCGCCCGGCCCCGCGGCGGGCGCGGGCGCGGGCGCGGGCGCGCGCGGCGCGGCCCGTGGCGCGCGCGGCCCGCCCGGGGGCCCTCCTCGGACCCGAGGGCCCTGGGGCACAGACGAGGAGGAGGAAGAGGAGGAGGAGGAGGAGGAGGAGGATGAGGAGGAGAGGCAGGAGGAGAGGGAGGAGGATGAGGAGGAGGAGGAGGATGGAAGAGGCGGACGGTCAAAGAACTCTGGCTCAGCGTGTCGCTCCACCGGTTCTGGCCCACCACGCTGCGGCTCGAGACCCCGATTCCCGCTCCCCCCGCGTTAGCGTCCCGAGCGCAGCCGTGCCTCCCGCCCCTGCCGAGCGGAGCGGGGCGCCAGCCGCTCGCAGGGCACGGCGTGTCGCGGGGGCCGCCGACACGATGCGCGAATCAGAATCTTGTGGCCGTGGCGTGAGGGCGGAAGGGGAGGTCAAAGATGAGGAAAGAGGAGGCGGAGGAGGAGGAGGAGGAGGAGGAGGAGGAGGAGCAGCAGGAGGAGGAGGAGGCAAGGACGGGGAGGGGGCAGGAGAGGAGCAGAGAGGGAGGCAGGGGAGGAGGAGAGAGGAGGAGGAGGAAGAGGAAGGAGGAGGCGGAGGAGGAGGAGGAACAGCAGGAGGAGGAGGAGGCAGGGGAGGAGCAGAGAGGGAGGCAAGGACGGGGGTCCCGCCAAGGAGCGGCACGTGCTCGGGCCGGACGGCAAGATCGTCAGGCAGCCGGCCTGCTGCTAAAGCATGAGGGGGCTCTTGGGATTGGGCAGGTCAGGTCTGGTATTGGCCAATCGTGGAGCTCAGGACTCGCCAGGGTTAGGTTTGGGACTCTTTTTCGAAAGACCGCTCCAGGTCTCGGAAGATCATGGAGCGTTAGCAACATCTGCTTTTGCGCGAGAGATGCAGCGAACGTTGCTGCAAGCTCTATTGACTAGCAAGGTCTACCGACGGCACGGTCCTCGTGCGGTCTAGGTCCTAGGTGCCATCCCGATGCCCCGACAGGGCCCTCGCATGCTTTTGGCAACGTCCTGGGATGGAAGCTGGGCTCTTGGAAGAGTCTTGAGAGCGTGTCCCGGTAGGGCCCAGGGGTCTTCTTGGGATCCCGCCATGGTTCTGGTCGGCTTCTGGTGGGGCCCCTGCAAGGACCTGGCCGTGGCATCCCGACATGGTATTGCTTGTGGGTCCAGGCAGGATGCTGCCGGGCCCTGGCAGAGGGCGCCACCTGTACATTTACATTCAAAGGAGGAACAACCACCCGGACCCGATAACGGGCGTTTGCTAGACGGCCTTGGGCGTTTGTTGAGCAGCCCTGCCCTGCTCGATTCCTTCTTTGGGTGCGTTTACTGAGCGGCTTCGCGTGCCAGAGTAATTCTTCGGAGGGCATATTTTTTGTGATCTCTGTACAGATACATCGATGCCCGATGCCCCGATCCTCACCAGGAAGGCCCTGGACCCAGCATCGATGTCGCATGCCCTCTCGGCCAAGCTGGCGGGGAGCTGACACGGATCCCGGGCCCAGGATGGGCTCGGCTGTGCTCGGCGCGGGTGTGCCGTCAGAGCCTTTTTGGGGATGGCCTCCTCTTCTCCTTCCCTCTCCTCCTCCTCCTCCTCTTCCTCCTCCTCCTCTCCTTTTCCTCCTCCCTCTTCACCTCCTCCTCCTCCTACTCCTCCAACTCCTGGTCATCCCTGTCCTCCGCCGTCTCCTCCTCCCCTCCTGCTCCCTCTCCTTCTCCTCATCTTCCTCGTCATCCTCATCATCACCACCACCACCACAATCATCATCATCAGCAGCGGCAGCAGAAGCATCATCATCGTCACCATCATTGCCATCATCACCCTCACCCCCATCATCACCATCATCCCAACACAATCATTATGATACTCATCACCACCATCGTCATCAACAGCATCCTCAGCATCATCACTATCATCCTTGCCATCATTACCAGCATCATGACCTGCACCATCATCATCATCATCATCATCATCATCATCATCATCATCATCATCATCATCATCATCATTGTCATTGGCATTGGCATTGTCATTGTCATTGTCATTGTCATTGTCATTGTCATTGTCATTGTCATTGCCATCATCACCATCATCATCATTATCATCGGTAGCATAACTACCAGCATCCGCATTACCATCACGACCATAATCATCGTTACCAGTCATCATCACCATCATCACCAACATCATCATAATCACTATCAGCATAATCCTCACTATCATAATATCCACCATGATCATCACCCTAAGCAGTACCATCAGCAGCATAATCACTATCACCAGCAGCATCAGCATCATCATCATCATCATCATCATCAGCAGCATCAGCATCAGCATCCGCATCATCGTCATCATCATCATCACCATCATCATCATCACCACCACCACCATCATCATCATCACCACCAACATCATCATCACCATCATCATAATCGGCATCACTGGCATCATCAGCATCAACATCACCATCAGCATCACCATCAGCATCATCACCATCATAAACACCAACACCAACACCACCATCAACGCCAACACCATCATCATCCCTGTCCCTATCCCTCTCCTGCTCGTCCCTCTCCCTCCTCCCTCCTCCTCCCCCCTTCCTCCTCCCTCCTCCTCCCTCCTCCCTCCTCCCTCCTCCCCCCTCCTCCTCCTCCTTGCTCCTCCTCCTCTCCTCCTCCTCCTCCTCCTCCTCCTCCTCCTCCTCCTCCTCCTCCTCCTCCTCCTCCTCCTCCCTCCTCCTCCCTCCTACTGCCCCCCCTTCCCCTTCCTCCTCCGCCCTCCTCCCTCCGCCCCTCGGCCCGGCTCGGCCCCCCCCCCCCCCCAGACCGAGCCCCGCCCGCCCTCGGGCCCTCGGGCGGAGAGGCAGCTGCTCGCCCAGCTCGGCAAAAGCCTCGTGGCCGACGACGCGAAGTGCCAGCTGCCGGGCGGGAAGGCTCGGCTTGGGGGGTTGGGAGCCCTAAGGTTCGGGGGGGCGTAAGACTCGAGTGCGCCGGAACTTGGGTTTGCCGACGGTTTCTGGAAGAGCGCGTCCAGTTTTGACGGTCCAGTTGTCGTGGGGAGTCTGCAGCGGGAGGTCGCGTCAAATTTCAGACCGGGCCTTGTCATTTTCATTGATGGCCCCGTCGGGCCAATCCGAGTCCCCCGAACCCAAGTCTTACGTCTCCCTGAAAGGTTAAGTCGGGCCTGTCCCTCTATAGGGGGGAATCTGCAAAATAGTATTAACAAAAAATAATATGGGGACGATGTTTGGAGCGTTTTTGGGCATTGTTTAAAGTATTTGTAGGGTATTTCTAATTTTCGTCCAAAATCGGCCTTGAGGGGGAGAGGCCCGACTTAACCCGAAGGGCTTGACGGCTTTTCGCCAATAGGCAGATAAGTCCAGGCAAATCCAGGCAAATGCAGATCACTCCAGGTAGATCCAGGTAGATCCTGGCAAATCTCAAGCGAAACTTGGCGCAAATCGTGACCGCCCCAGCGCGAGTCGAGAGACGTCAGAAGTCGTCAAGCCCTTATCGAGGGGAGGCGAGCGAAAACTTAAGTCGGGCATGTCCCTCTACAGGAGGAGCATTCAAGAATCGTGAAAGCATAGTCTGGTGACGAATTTCCTTATTTGTCAAAAAGACAAACACGAACTTTGACGATGTGTTGGCTCTTTTGATTGTTCCTCCAAAGCCCGCCTGTAGGAGGACATACCCGACCTATGCCAAAGCCCGCGGGGCGGACACGGCAGCGCCGGGCACGTTTCGGCGACCCCGTGGCCCTCCGAGCGCGGTCACACGCAAGACCCGGAGGGCCCCCCTTGAGGCACGAGAAGATCACGGCGGAAGGTTTTGCATGGCCTCCGGCCTCTCGGGACCGTCAACAGGAACGACTCGGCAAGAAAACACCGTCCCGGGGAAGGGGTCGAGACCTCCGGGGGTCGACGACTGTGCATGGTCCTAAACATACCCTTACCGGGGATCGGCCTGGGTGAAAAGGGCCGTCCGCTGGATTGGGCGCTTGCCACTGCGCCCGATCATCCTGCCGCGCGCGCTGTTTCAATATCCGCGCGTCAGGGCGCAACGACGCGCTGAACGGCTGGGACATGCCCTGGTTTGCGTCAGGGGCGTCTGGGGGCATCGGGGGTGTCCGCGGGGTTTAGAACAGCATTGGAGTGGTGGTGCTTGTCCCACGTGGGGACAGGCACCACCACTCCGTTGCATGCGGGCCTGCCCGCAGGAGCGTCGTTCCAATCTCACGCTCCCACAGGGGCCGCTGCGGCCGCGTTCGGGAGCGCTCTCGGGGGCTTCGACCAAACGCCACCTCGACTAGGTACGGGTATGTGTCCGGGGGCACCATCAACGCGCGTCGGCGACTGTGCCCCCCGACACGTACCCGGACCTAGCTGGGGTGACGCCGGGCGGGTTTTCCAGGGAACAGCCCCTGGCGACCGCGCTTGGCGTTCGGGGCCCCGGGCGTTTTGGGCGAGCGCGGGATTGCAGCGGCGCCCGCCCAGGACACCCAGGACGCATTTTGCGCGTCGAGCCCCAAACGCTTGATTGTGCGCCTTCGTGGGCGCACCTCTGAAAGACCCATTCTAGCCAGAGAGCGACCGATGCGTGGTCGGCCATTCTGCCGATTGGAAGGCGCCTGCCTTTTTGTGCCAGCGGATGCGCGGAGAAGACAGCGTCCTGTAATGTTCCATGGGCCGTCGCATGTGCACATGTGCAACCGCCGTCGGCTGCGGCGCGTCGTTCCACCCGCCCCTTGCCACCCCGCCTGGGTAAGGGTACGGGTCTGTTTCGCGCCCGAGAACTGTGAACAAAAGCGCGGCGTCGGGGGTCCATGCCTGCAGGGGTCTGGGGAGCAGCGGTGTCGATGCAGTCGTGCCCCCCCTTGTTCCTCCTCCGCGTCCGCGTTCGCGTCGTCGTCTGTGTCCCCTACCTGCAAGTCGGGCGTGTCCCTCTACAGGAGGAATATCCAACACTAGTTGACAAATCGTTTGGGACGACTTTAGGCTCATTGTTGGCGCATTGTTTCTTCCTGTGATCGAATATGCTGCATTTTCGATGTCCAGAATCGGCCTATAGGAGGACATGCCCGACCGAACCCTGCCTCCTCGACCCCCTGGCTCCTCGTCCTCGGCCTCTTTCGCCTGCCTGCCTCTTTGCCTCCGGGGCCCTCCTGCTGCTGCAGCTCGGCCCGGCCGAGGCGTGGCCTCCCCCGTCGCCCGGCCAAGGCCGATCTGGGCGCTTGCCCCCAGAGCGTGTCGTCTCTGCGACGAGCTCTTGTCGGTCGTCGTCCCTTCCGCCCTGCTTCCCTCCCCCCCTCGGGGCTCAGCTCGACTCTCCCGCCTCGATCCGGTGGCGATCGATTCCGAGTCCGAGCCGATTCAATCTCGGAGTCCGTTACACTGGAGGCCTATTGATTGAACCGTCGGTTCCCGCCGACTGGGTTTCCCCCGACTCGGCTGCCCATTGCTGCCGATCCGGTCCACTTCGATCGCGACTCTCCGGTTCGATGTTGGACCTTCCTGCCCCCTCCCCGCCTGATTTCTCCCCTGGAGCTCGCGCCGCGGGCGTTCGAGGCGGGACGCCGCCAGCTCAGGCCCTGCCCAGATGCCTCCTCGTCGTCATCCTCCTCCCCCTCCTCCTCCTCCTCCTCCTCCTCCTCCTCCTCCTCCTCCTCTTCCTCCTCCTTTTCCTCCTTGTCGTCGTTCTCCTCCTCCTGCAGTAACTAGTGTACGTAATGTTACTCCAAAGTGATCATCAAGAAACCCACCAGTGTGCTCCTTTATTGGCCCTACCTATGACCGTGACTTTCTGTATGCTCTGCCTTACACACGCCGGAAGGGGAACCTTGGCCTATTTCACAGTTTACCAGAGTACATGTGTGACAATACATGGAGCATCTTTCGGAACGACTGAGAAGTGAGCTGAGTGGGAGAGGGGATCACGGAAGTAAAACTGTAGAGGTAGCAGCTCCCCCTAGCAACAGTTTGGGGTCTCGAGCCTTCCGTCTGTCCCCCCCTCTTCCTTTTGAGGTCGTGTCGTCGACTCCTCCCCCCTTGGCTTGGGCGCCCTGCTAAGCCCGCGCGTCCCCTCCCCTAGGGCACGCGGAAGGGCCAGCGACTACTCCCCCCGCACTAAACCAATAAAACTCGTGATATAAGAGAACGAACCTATTACGAGGCCACCTCGGAGCTCGATCCTTGAGCTACGGGGTATGCCCCCCCGCCGGCCTTAGTGAGAAAGCAAGGCTGTGGCACAACAGATCGCAGGGGATTGTGGCAATTGCGCGTAGATCGCCCGAGTCGGCGCTCTAACATTACACCCCCTTTTGTCCTTGTCCTCCTCCTCGTCTTTCTCGTCGTCCTCATCCTCCTCCTCCTCCTCCTCCTCCTCCTCCTCACCTTCCTCCGCGTCGTCATTCGCGTCGTCATCCTCCACCTCATTCTCCTCCTCCGCCTCCTCCTACTCCTCATCACGGATCGGTGCGGCGGTCGAAGTGGGCGGGGTCGATGGCTCGCGCCGCATGGCCGAACATCGGCGATGCATCTGCGATGTCGGAGTGGAACGTGGCCTGCGGGCGAACGGTCGACGATGCATCGGCCATGCGGCGCGATCCACCGATCCCATCTGCGTCGACCTCCACCGAGCGGCCTCTGGCAAATGGACCTGGATTCGGTTGACATCGAAAACCACTCAGCGGTGTAAGCATTAACGTTTCGGAGGTCAGCGCGGTTTTCTCGGGTCGGCGCTGGGCCCCCCTCCCCACCGCCCCTGGGCGGCGTCCCCCGGCGCGCTCCGCGCTCCAGGGAAGGCGTTTGGGGATGGGGGCCCCGCGCCGACAGAAATGTTGGTTTCCGCCTCTACGGCAGGACGGCCCGCGGAACGCAAAGGTATTGTGGTCAAGGCCAGCGCCGGCTTCCTCCATACGATTCGGGGCCCCTCCTGTGTTGATCAAACGCAAAAACACACAGACAATTAATCGGCGACTCGCAAGAACGTATGGGACAAAATTGGATGTGGGGGAAGACGGCAACACTGAAAACATGAGAAAATGTTGGGCACCCCCGTGTGTTTATCTATCTATGTGAGTGTCCTTGGGTCCTTTCAGTTGAGCCGCGTGGGTAGCACGACCACGCGCACAGGCCACCGCCAACGCTGTAGCGGGCCTTCCCCACTTTGGCACACACGGGGTCAGGAGTGAGGGACGGCAGCCCGGTGCGATGTGCACGCGGGCCGGCTCCAAAAGCTGCCTCGCCCAGGAGGAGCCGAAGGAGTGGGCAGCCCGTCCTCGGCGGAGGGGGCGGGGCAGCAGACCCGGCGGAGGGCGGCGGAAGCAGAGCGAGGGCGGCGCCTCCGCTTGCGGAGGGCGGCGGAAGGCTGGCGCAAAGGCGCCGGAGGCAAAGGTCTTCTCCCCAACAGATGGCACCATTTCTGGGCCCAGGGTTTCCGCAACCCGCCCTGCGGGGGCACGAGGGGGCAAGTCAGCGTGATCGTCCCTGTCCCTCACCCGTGTGCCCCCTCTCCTCCTGCTGGTGTCCCACCACCCGCCAAACGCCAAACGAGCCCCAACCCTACCCGGAGGCCCCGATTTGCCCTCCATTCCCAGTGGGTGGGGGGGCGTCGGAGAACATTGGACAACGCATGTGGGACCCATACTCCTCCCAGCCCGACATTTGGTCCCTCGGGTTGGTCTGGGGCGGTCTGCAGGTGGTCAGTATCGTTGTCCACTCCATGCTCGCAGCTCTGCTCTCCTTCCGGTCCACTCCCCGCTCCCCAGGGCCCTTCCCCTCGCCCAACCTCTCCGGCCCGGCGTCGCAGATTCTTGTGTACCCACTCTCCCCCCCCGCGTTCCCATCCCGTCCCCCTACCACGCCCTTTCATTTCCCTGTACAAGCCATCTGCCTTGTTTTGCATATGGCCAGCGCGCGGCTTCTGTCATGTTCCTTCCCTTCCTCTCCCCTCCCCTCCGTCCCAGCAGCGGGGTCGCCGTGGCAGATGTTGGCTACAATCCATGGTAGGACCGACGCTTCTCGAGGCAACGTCTTCGAGCAAAGGAGGGCCCGACATGCGTTGCCTTCTGCTCCTGGCACTTGAGGCCCTTTCCCTGCCCGTTGGCGCTCTGACCGGCTCGCTCCCTCCGCTCCCTCGCTCGGACCGTGCTTTCCTGGCCACAGCGTCGCAGCGGTCGGGAAGGAAGCGATCTGGCGTGTGGAGGGTATTGGCACATGCCTCTGATCCACCCCTCGCTCTCTGCAACCATCGGCTCTTGGCGCCGTCTTGAGTTGCCGTGGCGTCGCCTTGCCCTCAGCCTTGGCTGGCCGGCTCCTCTTCCCCCCCCCCCTCCAATTGGAGCGTGTGTTGCATAGGGCTGGGCTATATTGCGCTCATGGCCTCATTTTAAAGCTACCGCTCGTTCCGAATCGTGCTCCCGCTGCAGCGATGGCCTCATTTCCGCGCTTCCGCTCGTTCCGAATCGTGCTCCCTTTGCAGCGTTGGCGTCATTATTTCCAGCGCCAAGTCACGGCATGGTTTTCGGTCCTTCCAAATAGGCTCTAAAATCTAAAAAATGGTCTCCCGAAGAAACCATGGGAAGTAAGTACCCATTCGGTGCCGATTCGCTTGTTCTTGGGCCGCAGAAGCCCCCCCCCACTTAAGGGCGTCTTCCCTCCCCCCCCCTCCAGACCCCCGACGTCGTGCTCTAGTTCGCAGCGTGGAAGCCAGCAGTTCTTGGCCCCTCCCCAAGAAGACGCCAGCTCTTCCTCCCGGGTCGTCGTCGGACGGTCCTGGGGCCAGGCGCCGTCGTGCGCATGTTTCACGACACGCAGCAGCTCGGGTAACGAGGGTTACTGCCACGACTGCAAAACGCGCGCCTCTCCGCCACACATGCCCATGTGTATATATATATATATATGTAACCACATGCATTCGAATACTTATATACATAACTATAGGTATCAGTGTGCATATATATATATATATATATATATATGTGGGGGGGGGCGTTCCAGAAAAAAAGGCCATGCCTTCGAGGATAGAAGGAACTGTCACCTCTTCCGCCGCGGAAGGCGGCGGACGGGCGGCGGACGGGCGGCGGAAGTAAAACGAGGCCGCCTCGGCCGGCGGAAGCCGGCGGACGGCGGCGGAAGTGAAAGATGCGACCCCAAGAGATGAAAACGTTTTGGGGTTCGGGTTTTTTTGAATCCGCCATATTTACACATACACACACGCACTGCCCCCGCAGTCGGTTGTTCTTGGGCCTCCAGGGCGAGCGGCGGTGTATAGATCACCACTGAGAGCCACGACTCTATGCACCGCCAGCCTCCCTGGAGGGACAGGCAGAACTCGTCGGCGGGTGCCCGTGCACACATCGTCGTGGCGCATCCTCGGGGGGGGGGGGGAGGAGGAGGAGGAGGAGGAGGAGGAGGAGGAGGAGGAGGAGGAGGAGGAGGAGAGAGAGGAGGAGGAGGGAGGAGGAGAGGAGATGGAGATGGAGATGCAGGAGGAGGAGAGGAGGACGAGGAGGAGGAGGAGGAGAGGCGATGAGGCGGAGGAGGAGGAGGAGGAGAAGGGAAGATGAGGCGGAGGAGGAGGAGGAGGAGAAGGTCCGCGCCGGGGAGCTGCCCGGCGACGCGCTGGCGCGCCTCCTCGGCGGGCAGCTGTGCGGCCTGCGGGGCGCGGGTCTGAGGCAGGAGGATCGGCGCCGGGGGGGGGGGGGCAGGCAGCTCGAGCTCGGGGGTCCGAGCTTGGACCGAGGAGGGGCACACGTGGCTTAGAGCACGCAGATGAACGACGGGTCCGCTTCCATACAGGGTCGGCGGTGCTCCGCCACCACATCGGGCGGCGTTGGCGCCGTGCCTCGGGGGTGCCTTCCCCGATCCACGGGTCTGGCGACGGCGCACCAGATCCACGTGCCCCTGATCCATGCCAGCGTGCCGAGGACTTTTGTTGTCGCTTCCCGCTGCGGGACGGAGGCGTCGCGCAGTGGGAGGGGGGCGATCGATGGAGGGGCAGCGAGGGCTGCAGAAAAGGGGCCCGGTAGGGCCCTTATAAAACGGCCCTTTCGGGCCCAGAAGGGGGCCTTTGGGGCCTGAGAAGTGTACCTACCTCCCCCCCAAACTGATTGCCCCCCCATGAAGCGAAGCCCAAGGGATGTTTTCCAACAGCTGCGCCTCGTCGAGGGCTCCCCAGGGGAACCCCATCGTGCCGAGGGGTCGGCGGAGGCCCTGGGGCTATGACGCGCGAGTGCTACGGGGCGAGCCTCCTCGGAGGGCTCAGGAGGCCGGCAAGCTATCAGCCTTTCCCATCGGGGCTCAAGAGACGGGGGACAATGCAAACGGGGGTCGGCCAGAGCGCTGGATCTTGCAGGATCCTGCGGAGCCAGGGGTGCACCTGCTCACCCAGGCTTGCATGCAGGATCACGCAGGATCTTGCTGCGGCTTGCCGAGCCCGACTGGCCCAGGTTTGGACTGACCCTGGTCAGTGCGTCCCCGATCTCCCCCGACCTGCACCTAGGGAGTGGCCCGAAAGTAAGAGCTCCTCCGGATCCCCAAGCGGTCTTCATTGTAATCTAGCGTCTTGCCTGTGGAGATGGTGGCGCACCAGGGGGCCAAATACTTCTACATTTAAGTCGGGCCTGTCCCTCTACAGAAGGAATCTGCAAAAATGGCCAAAAGATAGTCCGGGGACGATTGTTTGTGTAGTTGTTGCCCTTTTTGGGGGGTATGTTATGACTCTGTTATACTTCTGTCGTCCACCCCCCCCTGTAGGAGGACAGGCCCGACTTAATTCTGCATCGAAAACGGAGTCCAGGAGGACAGGCCCGACGTAATTCTACATCGAAAACGTAGTCCAGGAGGACAGTCCAGAAGGACAGGGCCGACTTTATTTCTGTCGTCCAAAACCCCCCCGTAGGAGGACAGGCCCGACTTACATCGAAAACGCAGTCCAGGAAGGATCGGTTCCCCCGGCAGAGGGCCTCGCAGGCGGCCCAGGGCACGAGGCCTGCTGCAGCAGAGCCCCCCGCCTGCTGGGGGCCTGCCCCCCCCCCTTCGCGCCTTTCCTTCCTCCTCCTCCTCCTCGCCCTCCTCCTCCTCCTCCTCCTCCTCCTCCTCCTCCTCCTCCCTCCTCCTCCTCCCCTCCTCCTCCTCCTCCTCCTCCTCCTCCTCCTCCTCCTCCTCCTCCTCCTCCTCCTCCTAAGCCACCGCGAGGTCAAGCGGTGATCCAGGGTGGCTGCAGGACTGTAGGAGGACACTTACCCCTCCCCTGCTCACACATACATGCCCCTAAAACCTTACTTCAGGGGGCGGCTCGGGGCGATGGCTACCTCTCTTGCAGTGCTGTATTACAACCCCATGCATTGTGCCGCGGACCGACTACAGGAGATATGCACAGAAGCGAGGAACTTCGACGTAGTGGGGCTGGCAGGGACGGGGAGACGCCGGCGCCCAGGTGAGTCCATGGAGATGGGCTACATAGCCAGCGAAGGGGAGGGAGGGTGCAGGTTTGTCGAGGGAGGATGGAGAGAGGGAGCAGCCTACAGCAATAAGTCTACGGGGTGTATGATTCTCTGGCGGGGTAAATGGAAGCATGCGCAGTTACAAGGCACGGCAGAACCACCATCGGAACTACACGGTAGAGGAATAGCAGTTACACTATCTCTGGGTAAACAACGGACCAACTACATATGTGTCTACTATCCTCCACAACCACGTACCGCACGGGAACGCCAACAGTACATGCGTATTGTGACTGCCCTGACCGACTGGATCGACCAACAGGTCACAAGCAGTGGTACGAATACTTCAATCGTGATCGGAGGTGACCTCGGTGACGGCCTAGGACAGACCCCTAAGGGTGAACCAAGGCACAGCTGGGCGGTCGGCCCTGGAGGGGCCCCAGGGCGCTTACCAGGAGGCGCGGGCCAACGAGTCCGCGAGCTGGCCGAACGACATCACCTATTTGCAGTGGGCACACAGGATAAATGGCGACCTACCTTCTTCACGGAGACCCACGCCTCTCTGATCGACTACATACTGATCCCACAGGAGTGGCGTGAACGGACTACAACGATGGGACCACTCAGCCGTATGGGACGACGACTCCAGGTCATACGCAGTCGCGGACTCCGAGATCACAGACCCACCCACGTCACAGTTGCCATGAATCATCGGCCCTACTACTCGAAAGTCAGACAACGACCCAGGTGGAACCGACAGGCTCTGGTAGAAGGGGTGCGCCGAAATGTGGGTAGGACCGACTTTGTTAAGGAGGTGGAGGAGGAGGTAGCCAGGAGGGAGGAGGAGCTGGACGAGATCAGGAGGCAGGGCGATAGCAACGACACCATTGGAGCCCTCTCTGAGATTGTCTGTAGATTGGCCGAGAAACACTTTTGTAAGGATACTGCGCGGGATGACACTTATCACCGACTCCAGCAGGACCGCCAGGCACTCCTCACCAAGCGACGAGACCTTCGAGAGCTCCAGGGAGAGGGCACCGAACAACAGATGATCAATGTAGCTTCCCGCCTCAAAGCCCTGACCAAGAAGTGTGCGAGGATGAGGAGAGAGGCGCAGCAGAGGATAGGAGCGGAGAGGGTGGAGGAGCTGTGGGAAGCTTGGAGGCGCAGGGATCTAGCAGAGGTGGGACGTCTCAGTCGATTACTTGCGGGCACGAAGTTGGGACCACGACGCCGCAACTACCGCAGTGTGATGACGAGCGCGCCGACCAGACAGGAATGGGAGGAACTCTGGAGATTGCCAGGAGGACAGGGGGGTATGGAGGCGGCACCCACTACGAGGGAGGAGATGCTCGAGGAGTCGAGGAACACCACCTACCCCCTAGACTTTGCAGCCCTGAACGAGGCCATAGACGGCGCCAAGGACGACATGAAACGTGTGGCACGCAAGTTGTACCGTACGGGGCTCCGTAGGGCACACCCCCTGGGCTCGGCCCCAGCAGAGGCGTGGCGCATGCTGCTCACTAGGCCCCCTGAGGTCCAAGACAGAGCTGGCGTGGGCACGGAGAGGGGCAAGGTCTTTCCCAGGAGCTTCAGAATCCAACTCGAACAAGCCTTCCGACAGATCCGCGTCCAAAAGAAGACCCCAGTTAGTTGGCACATCAGCGAGGCCACCGCTGTCAGAAAGAACGGGAAGCTCGGACCCCAAGGCAAGCGAGTCTACCACGTCCTGGACCCCTTAGGCAAATGCTACTACGCCGCCCAACTAGAGAGAGGAGCAGGACGACCTTGGAGGGATGAGGACTACGGCTTTGTGAAGGGACGGAGACGGGAGAGAGCAGTACTAGCCAGCTTGGTCACCCAGGGCAGGCTCTCCAGGGCCGGGGCGTCCTACTCAGTAGTGATGAAGGACATGACGAACGCCTTTGCGAGTGGACACTGGACGGGAATGGACGCTGCTACACAGACACTGCTACCGCAGGAGTTGTGGGAGGTCGGGGAGCAGAGGTACTGACAGTGCGCGTTCACAGTGCCATGCAGGGATCAGGAGGAGCCGACGATGATACGACCAGGATGTGGGGGCCTCATCGGAGATCCATTCATGGTTTACAATTTTGTTGCCCTGTTTGCCCCCCCCGTCGAGCAGTGGAAAACAGCATGTCTCGAGAACCTGCCGGAGGATCACCTGCTCATGGCACGCTGCCCGTTCTTCGAACAACCGCAGTACTTAGGTCTCTTCAAATGCGCGGATGATCTGCAGAAGCTATTGGTCAGCACCTCAGATCAGGCTGCAGCGGACCTTTCCCAGCAAGCCAGACTGGCTGATGACATGCTCGACGAGAGACTTCAGCAGTTCGGCCTGGCTCAGAACCGCGACAAACAAGAGAACCTTGTCTGGCTGCAGGGTAGGGGCACGACGGCACAGTACAGACAGTTACGCACGAAACAACACGCACTTCCAGGACGCACGGCGCAGTCGGCTAGATACTTAGGACCACGCATCAACACTGTGCACACGTACGGAGCGGAGCTACCACAACGTATTCATGCTATGATTAGGGCATACAGGGAAATGGGAGGGTTCTGGTATAAAGCGGGGGTGCCTTTCAAGTGGAAACGGGCAGTCCTGATCTGTAAGGTTGTCAACACTGGGCTCAGTTGTATCGAGAGCTTCTTACCGACTAAGGACGAATATAGGACTCTTACGATGACGGTCGCGGGATTAGCTCGGAGGGCCATGCGTGGCAAAGCCACCACTTACCAGCCCGACGGTACGGTTCGGAGTCTCACGAGTTATGAAGTCTTGCGACACTGGCGAATCCTACCGCTACAAATGGAAGCGATCGTCAGACGCCTCACTTGGATCAGAAAAATGTTACTCAACCCCTTGGCGCACCAGCAAGTACTTACAGCCATATTCGGACAACTTGCCATGGAGCCTGAGCCGACGGTCTGCGACGACGGCGCGCTCCATCCACGGTGTAATGCCTGGGCGCAAAGAATAATTAAGGACCTTGAGGAGGCTTGCCGCACGGACATGTTTGTAAGTAACATAAATTACTTGGACATCCGACCTGGTAATTTCTTCGAGCCAGACTTCCAGGAGGCCCTCAGAGTCCTCGACCCCAAGGAGCTCCGACAGGCGTTCAGGGCCCGTACCATTCCACCCCCAGGCCTCCCTAGCCCAGGAGCCAAAGCAGCAGCAGCAGATGTAGCGGAGGAGGAGACGGTGCTAGCGGAAATTGCTCCCTGGAAATGTGAGAAAGTGGACCAGCCGCATACCACCTCCGAGCGTGGCGACACTGGGCCGACGACGGCGGCTGCCGACTTGCAGGCGGGGCCAGCTGATCCAGCTGGGGGGTTCAGGATGTGATGTCAGCCAACGACCCTCGAGAGAACATGCTTCTCCCTGTGTGTGGTGCATGCTTCAGTACACGTAAGGCGCTTATGTCACACATGCGTAACAAACACAAACTGAGCAACGTGGCGTCCCTACTCACTCCTACTAACGAGTGTGTGAACTGTGGCATTGTGTTCGGAGAGCGCAGTACGGCGGCTCGGCGCTTGATGAGGGGGCTCCGTACAGGACGTTTCCCATCGGGCAGAACTCGGACGATGCGACCGATCGAGACTTTCGCCCCGAAATGCCAATTGTGTGGATATGCAGATCACGACAAACAACGGCTCTACGAGCACCTCCGTAGTCATTTCCCCAGAGCAGTTCTTCAGCCAGCCGCTCCGACGGGCCCCCGCGCCCGCCCGACTGCGACCCAGGCCCGACCTTGGGGCGACTCCGATCATGCCCGACGCAGCGCCAGCGGCTGGGGCAGCAGCCTCGACCGACGACTTCGAGATGGCACCAGCGTGGGCGGGCAAGCGCACGCTCCAGGTGGACAAGGACGCGACTCGGGCGGCCAAGGAGTCCAGGACCAAGGGCAAGGGCAGCGGCCGCGACAGGGACTACGAGCGCCTCGAGGAGATGGCGGTCATGACGGCCAAGCTCTCGCTCACCGTGGCCAAGGACGTGGAGGACATGAAGGCGGTGGTCTACGAGTGCTGGGAGCTCGACGCCGACAAGCCCATGGCGGCCATCTCGACGCAGGCGGGCAAGCAGTACAACGACGACGTGCAGAAACTGAAAGAGCAGCGCGCGAGCGACTCCAATGTCGACCTCGCAGCGCTGGGCCCGCCGCACCTCGTCGTCATCGCGGCGGTGATCAAGAACATCGCAGAGGTGGTCCCGCCAGACGACAAAGCCATCCTGGGAGATTTCTGGAAGAAGGTGGTGTGCCTGGAGGATCCAGAGATGCTGGGCACGCGCGTGAAGCACTACCAGGCGAAGACGAACAAGCAGCCGAAGCAGAGCAAGGAGAAAGTGCGGCTGATTTTTTCCTTCGACTTGCACGTGCCCGACTTGCGAGCCGTGCGGGAGGTCCTGATCAAGGAGATCAAGCGGGAGGGAGGCCAGCGCAAGCTGGGGGGAGCGCCCAGAGGCCCGCTGCAGCGAGGCCTCACGAAGCTAGTCTACACGAAAAGCTGAGAGACGAGGTACCGATCCTGGAGTTGGTGCCAGATGAGGAAGACACAGCGCCTCGACGGTACCTCAGACTGATGCCAGCAGATCTGAGCCGAGAGGCACTCTCGGCCCCGCCAGCTTTTCGTGCCAGTGCCCGCTATAGAGATCTTGTGGCAGAAGGGAGGCTGCCAAGACGTGAGCCCAGCCAGCCCGCTCCGGTCCTCCGTTCCAACTTCGACTCGACTCTTCTCACTCCTCGCCCAGACCCACCACGTCCGCAGAAGGGCAAGGGTAGGGGGCGTAAAGGAAAAACAGAACAGCAGAGCACTGTGTAGCAATTTTGACTCTCGAGTGCCCGCAGGCGGCCAGCCTGACCGCGTGCGGGAGTGGCCTGCCTGCAGGGCCAATGCGTATTTTGTGACGCTTGCGCACCTGTGCGAGTGATGGGGCTTCCCCAGATAGACCCAGATGTCAGACTGATATAGTACACTCTGCAAGGTAGTGTAGCTGCAAGGTCGTGACGACACGTTGGGTCCGATTCATCAGTCAGTCAGTCAGTCCTCCTCCTCCTCCTCCTCCTCCTCCTCGTCCTTCTCCTCCTCCTCCTCCTCCTCCTCCTCCTCCTCCTCCTCCTCCTCCTCCTCCTCCTCCTCCCCCTCCTCCCCCTCCTCCTCCTCCTCCCCCTCCTCCTCCTCCTCCTCCTCATCCTCCTCCTCCCCATCGCGTCTCCCCCTCGGCGCGCCGCCTGGCGAGGAGCTCGCGAAGGTGGACGGCGTCATCGAGCTCACGGAGAGCGCGGAGTCCGGGGCCGACGAGCTGCGGGCTGCCGCGGGGCCGAAGGGTGTTTGCCCAGATCTGTGATGTTCCGATTTTCTTTAGCCTTGACTGCCACAAAGAGTGTCGAGCGCCAAAAAAAGTACCGAAACTCGAGGATGTCCACGTGCAGGGCCCTGGGAAACACCCGTCCGACACTGTTTATCCACCGTTTCGACACTTTGCCGGGTGCTCGAGTTTCTTTTCCGGGATGTGGCCCCCCTGAAGTGCGACGGGAGCAACGCGGGCCCAGATCTCCGAGGGCGCGCTCTCTGTGGGTCCGAGCGTGCTCCGCCCTCCCAGAGATTTGGGCCTCCGGGGCAACGGTGCTGGGCTCCGGGGCCATCAAGGAAGGGATCGGGGCGGAAGGGCAGCCCTGGGGATCGGGCGTCGCGTCACGAGGGGGGGGCGTCACGAGGGGGGGGTGGGGGGGCGATCGACGAGGCGGGCAGCGCAGGGCCGCGGGGAAGGCCAGGGGCCCCGCAAGGGGCCCTCGAGGGACCCAAAGGGGGCCGATTGGGGGCCCGAGGGGTGCCCCTTTCTCCGCCCCCCCCCACCTCCAGTGCACAGTCGAGTGTGATTCGTAGGTTCGACCCATGCCCTCCACGTTCCACTGGCAATGTGGCCATCGGAAGCGTCACGTGCCCTCTCGCGTGTCCTCTCCGATCCACCCCGACTGTGTCGCCCACCCACGGAGCGACGCCCAGGGGGAAGTTGTCGGGAGTGCTCGGGCCGCGGACGGAGCAAGTCACATCGTCGGACGTCTGGGAAGTGGGCCGAGACACTGACAGTACAGTGGGGGCCCGTGCCACGAAGCACCCTGCTTGCCTCCAGGGTGCCCTGGGTTTCTTGGGTTTCGCTGGTTCTGCGAGGGAGAGCGTGACGCTTCCGCACGAAAAATCTGTGGACGTCCTGGGGTCTCAGGGTTTTGGGGTTTCTTGTGGGAGGCTTCTTGTGGACTGGCCTCCACTGTACCTGGTCCATCTGCCCTTCCCGGGCGGGGCTTCGGGTGGAACGCGCCCGAAAGGGGCCAGAATTTGGCCCGTTGGGCCAGGGGTCTAAGTACAGTCGGGCCGAGGTATACGATCGAGGTCGGATCAGGGAGGGTACCCCTTTGATTTTCTGTGCCTTTTGGCCGGCGGAGGGTCTTCGTGTTCTTGAGGGACGCTTTTGTGCCTTAGGTCCGACTGCATACTCTCACCCGAAGGGCCCAAGGTGGATCGAGCTGCAAGCCTGTGCGACTGGCAGCGCCGAACCTGTCCCGTTCTCGACGGTCCTTGTCCCACGGCCTTCGCGCCTCAACGGGCTCCCTTCCCCTCCCGCCCTGCCCGTCCTCTCGCATGTTGGTTGTCCTCCCCTCCTCTCACGAGGAAGAAAAAACGCGACATGTTGGTTGTCCTCCCCTCCTCTCACGAGGAAGAAAAAACACGACAAACATACACTTTTTGGCGCTCCGTGATCCCCGCTCCCTGGCGTGCGGAGCGCGCCAGGGGCCCCCCTGGCGGCGCCTCCGGCGCCGCCCCTGGCGCGCTCCGCGCGCCAGGGAGGGGGATTCAGCGCGGATCCAAGAAATCTGCGCGGAGCGCCAGCAGTTTCTGTCTACGGCGGTTTTGCTTTTCTTCTTCTGCTCCCCCTGCCTGCTCTCCTGGTGGGCCTCTCTCGCGGGCCGCTCTCGCCAGAAAGCGGGCGGCGGGGGCTCCGCCTCGCTGTAGGCATCTTCAGTTTCACTCTTGACACATCTAGAGTTCAAGGCAATTTTAAGCAGAGTGATCCTATGGTCAGACCACATGTCAAATACATATTCTTTCGGGTATGTAAATCACATATGATTCTGACGTTCCCCCCTTGCAAGCAAAAGGGGGCGGCGGATCTAGAATCCAGCGGCGGTCGACCCATCCCGCCGCCGTGCCCGCACTGGGGCCCAGAGCCCTCTCGGATGATTCTTGGAATATACCCGGCGCCGTTTGGAGGCATCTTGGGGCCTCACAGGCGCCAATTGAGGGCCTCAAGGGGGCCTCTTTGGAGCTTCATGGGGCTTCGGGGCCTTTTGAGAGCCCATGGGGATCTCTTGGCGGACTCCAGGCGGTCTCGGTGGCAATCCTGACACTAGAGTCACTAGAGGGCTCTCGGGGTAAGTTTTGGATCCCCGTCCTGCGTCGAGGATCTTGAGACACACATGCAAATACACACATATACAAACAGACATACAGACAAAACACACGCACACGCACACACTCACGCAAAACACAGACACACACACACACACACACGCACACACACAGCACACACACACACATCACACACACACACACACACACGCGTGCACGCACGCACGCACGCACGCACGCACGCACGCACGCACGCACGCACGCACGCACGCACGCACGCACGCACGCACACACACACACACACACACACTGACACTGCGTTTGTTTAATAGTGATTGGATGTTTTGGAGAGTCACTCGAAAAGCCATTGGAGCGCCAGTGAGTTGGAGGGCCTGGGGACTTGAAAGGGCATGCAAAATTCAACACAGAGAACTCGAAAGGGCCCCAGGAAACTTTATTGAGTGTTTTGGCGGCTATTCCTCAAGTCCTTGCGCGGCCGCGGCGGGGTGAACAAATTGCGCTCTCATGTGGTCTTCGGCCCAGCACAGGTTACAGCCAGTCGAGTTTCCCCAACCCTTTTGGAGTCGGTGTCTGTTGCAATCGGTTTTTGGATTTGCCTAGGTGTCCTCGCTTGCAGACCTGATCGTCAGCAGCGTCGTCCAGATCGAGCAGGAGCGCGGAAAGCAGTCGGAGGTACGGACCGTGACCGGGATCGACCGGTTCGCTGGCCAGATTGAGCTGGACAGGCCGTTGAAGCACCCCTACGCGGCCAGGTCGCGGGTCACCAAGGCGAGCGGCTCGAGAAGCTCGAGCGAGTACGGCGTGGAGACCAAGTACATCCTGATGGGCAAATGTTCCAACATTGCTACCATATGCAGGACGGGGGAGGGACGAGGAGGTCCGCCTCCTCCTCCTCCTCCTCCTCCTCCTCCTCCTCTTCCTCCTCCTCCTCCTCCTCCTCCTCCTCCTCCATCTCCTCCTCCTCCTCCTCCTCCTCCTCCTCCTCCATCTCCTCCTCCTCCTCCTCCTCCTCCTTCATCTCCTCCTCCCTCTTCCACATCTGGTAGTGGTGGTGGAAAATGGGCCCATCACATCCGGAGCATCTTCTGCTGCGGCCTCGACGAGCGAGGGCAGAGCCTGGCAGCTCCAGGCGACGAGCGCGGAGAAGCCGCTTCTCCCGCCTGCAATGGGGGCCCTTGCCAAAGAGCACCCTGCTTGCCTCCAGGGTCGCCCTGGATTTCTTGGGTTTCGATGGTTTTGTCACGGAGAGCGTGGCGTTGCCGCAGCCAGAATCGACGGACGTCCTGGAGTCTCAGGGTTGGGTTTCTGGTGGGAGGCTTCTTGTGGACTGGCCTCCACTGCAAGACGCCAAAAGAGGGGTCGCTTCGGGCCCAGGAGGGGCTTTGGCGGTTTTCGGGCAGTTCCTTAGATTCGCGTCGTGGAACCTGGCTGTGGCCTTGGCTCGCCGCGTCGTCCCCTACAGTCGACCCGTATCCTTAGGACGCACGACAAGGACGCAAGGGCCTCCGAAGGCCATTCCGAAGCCCTTCGGGCGGGGCGCGGCCCGCGTGAGTGGCCAGGGATGGACCAGGAAGGCAGGGATGCGCAGGGGGTACCCTTTCGGAGAGCCGCCCATCCTTGCCGTGCGGGAGGACTGTACGACGTGCGCCTTCTCTGGCAGCGCGAGGGCTGCCTGGAGGGGGGTGCCCTCGCTCCGCCCCGCCGAGCCCTCCCGGCGCGGCGTGGCCGCGCCAGGCCGCCCGCCCAGGGAGGGGGTCGAGGCTCGAGGCTCGAGGCTCGAGCGCCGAGGTCCTCGGCCGTCGCCGGCGGCTCCCGGCGGTGCTCGACGACACGCGGGGCGCTCCAGCAAGGGTTCCAGGGTTCGTTTCGATTCCTCCGATTCGATTCGATTCGATTTCGATGGCTTCCGATTCCGATTCGATTCGACTTGGGATTCCGATTTGGGTTCCGACTTCTCATTGGAGGCATACTAGCCTCCCGATTTCCGCCGATTCGATTTTTTCCGACTCGGCTGCCGGTGCCCGCCGATGCGATCCATCTCGATCGCCGATCCGACTTATCGATTCGAGTCTGGTGTCTCCTGGGGTGCTGCTCGCCGCGGCCAGGAGGGCCCAGGTCGTTCTTCCTTGCGAGGCGTGCCTCCTCCTGGCAGCGCGAGGGCTGCCTGGGGGGGGGGCCGCCTCGCTCCGCCCTGCGGACTCGAGTCCCAGACTTCAAGCGCCGTCCTGCTTCGATGATCCAGCGGCTTCGCCTTGTCCGTCCTCTTGAGGTGGCGGGCGGACGCCCCACCTACTTCCGACGCCGTCCTACTTCATATGTCTTCCTACCTCTTCCGACCGATGGGTAAGCGTGTGGCGATCCGCGCGGCTCTCTTGGATCCGCGCTCCCCCCCCCCCCCCCGGCGGCGCCTCCTGCGCCGCGGAGCGCCAAGAGTCTATGTTTTACGCAGTTGTTTCTTCTTCTTAATCTCATTATTATTCTTATTATTACTAGTATTATTATTCTAAACACCAACGGCGTTCTCAAAAAAAAGGATTTGCCTACGAGGATCGAAGGAGCTGCCATCTCTTCCGCGGCGGCAGGCGGCGGAAGGGCGCCGGAAGGCCGGCGGAAGTACAGCGAGGCCGCCGACGTTGGTGGAAGCCGGCGGATGGCCGGCGGAAGGCGGCGGGAGTAAATGATTTGCCCCCAAGAGATTCGGGCCGAACGACAGGGGGGGATTGGGAAAGGGGGGGGTAGGACATCTGCTGCGTGCAGCTGGTTTCGGCCCCGCAGACGGGCCCAGTCCTCGATACATGGGCGCCTCCTGGCGCCTTGGAGGCGCCGGGGAACTCAGCTACGTGAGCTGCTTCTCAACTCCCCCCTCTTTGCTATCCCCCCCTTTCGCCCGGCCCGAGAGATGAAAACGTTTCGGGGTTCAGTGTTTCCGGGATCCGCCACGTAAGAGCGGGCCCAGCGGGGTCCCCCGCTCGCCGAGCGCGATGCGGCAGTAGCGCATTGCGCGCTCGTGTATGGTGCACCCGCGGCCTCAGAAAGCCGCGCACCAAAGGTCAGTCTTTCCCAGGGTCACTCTTGCGTGCAGCGTGTAGCCGAGGCTCTCTGGCCTCCGGGTGCCTTCCAGCGGCTGCGCCTCGCCGAGAGCATTCTGGGAGTGCCCAGATCAGAGGCCTGAGTTACATATGGCCCCCAGGGGGCAACGCTAGGGGGGGGGCAGGCTCAGGTTCGAGGGTGTGTCTCACGTTTTTCCCTCGTTTTCAGCAATTGTTCCTTTCGGGTCCGAGCTTCGAGGTTCGAGAGTTTCGGGTTCGAGGTAGATTCGAGGTCTTCGGACGAGTTCGTCAGTTTTCGGCTATTTTTCCAGCCTCGGGAAGCTTGCCAGCAGCTGCGCATCGCCAAGAGCGTTCCAGGAGTGCCCGGATCGCCTTGTTATCGGCCGCCAGAGGCCTGAGAATTGGGACCTGTGGAGGCCTTTTTGGGCCCAAGATGGGCTTTGCCAGGATCCGCACTGGTGCCTGGTCGGCGTCGTCCCTGCCCCGCCGCGATCGCTTCCAGCCCTGGCCCAAGGAGGAGGAGGAGGAGGAGGAGGAGGAGAGGAGGAGGAGGAGGAGGAGGAGGAGGAGGAGGAGGGAGGAGGAGGAGGAGAGAGGAGGAGGAGGAGGAGGAGGAGGAAGAGGAGGAGGAGGAGGAGGAGGAGGAGGAGGAGGAGGAGGAGTTGCAGGAGGGAGAAGAGGAGGTGGAGGAGGAGGAGGAGAAGATGGAGTCTGAGGATGGCGCCGCATCGCCGATGCATCGGCGGCGCGGCTCGATGTGGAGCCCGCTGCTCTCCATGCTGGCGGCGCCCCGCGCGGGTGCGTTCCCGACATAATGCGCAGCTGCATCGGCGGGGCGCAGCGCGCGAGCCTCCGACCCCGTGCGGTCGGACCCAGCCGGGAGGCGGCCATCTCTCCGGAGGCCAGGGTGGTGGAGGAGAAGCTGCTGGGGGCAGTGCAGTGCAGGGACCAGCGGAGGAGGGGATGCCCCTGCCTCCGGATCCTGCGGCCGCGTGCGAACTCTCGGCCCTGCGGGTCCAATCGACGCCGGGGTGTCGGACACCCCCGCTGGCGCTGGGAGTCGCTCGGCCGCAGACACCCCTCAAGTTCTGAACCCCGGCCAGCGGAGTGACGGGCTCCAGGGGCCGAGATCGAGGACAGAGCGCCGAGAGCGAAGAAACGGACGCCGTCAGAGAGCGCCGGGAGCTGCCCGTGCCGCAGTTTTCGGGCGAACGCCGCCCCGGTTGCAGCCGCCGAGTGCAGCGGAGGAGCGGGGGCCACCCCTGACCCCGCCGAGGCCTCCTCCTCCTCCTCCTCCTGCTCCTCCTCCTCCTGCTCCTGCTCCTCCTCCTGCTCCTGCTCCTCCTCCTCCGTAAGGGGGGGGGGAGAAGACAGGAAGGGGAGGGGCTACGAAACCTGCTGCGTGCAGCTGCTTTCGCCCCCGTCGCCGGGCCCCCATGCCCCGATGCCCGGGCGCCGCTGGAGGCGCCTCCGGGGGCGCCAGGGAAAGCAGCGAGCTACGTGAGCTGATTTTCTGCCCTGCCCTTTGCTATCCTGCCCTTGCGTCGGGCACGTCCCTCTACAGGAGGAAGGTTCACGTGGTCAAAAATTCGCCTGGGGCCTTTTTTGTTCGTGGTTCTTGTTGACCACTTTGGAGTAGTCTGTGACCATTGCACTTTCGTCCAAAATCCCCCTGTAGGAGGACATGCCCGACCTAGTCCTGCCGTTTCGCCTCCCCCGACCTTGTCGCAGCCGCCGTGTTTGGCCGAGGAGTGGAGCCCCCCCCCTAGCCCCCGCGCAGGCGAATGGGTGCGCCCGCTCGTGCGCTGCGCCCGCTCGCACGTGTTCTCCCACACGGTCTCGTTCGGCGGCCCCCGGTCGCCCCTCGGCGAGGCCCCGCAGGACCCGACGGCGGACTACGAGGCGGGGGGCCGAACAGAGCAGCAAGTCACAAGACAGCTCGCTCCGCTTGGGCCCCGCCAGCGCAAACGGCGAGCACACATCGGGCTGCGCATGCCAGTCGATTTGGCAGGGTGTGGACCGGAGTTTGTGCTTGGCCCGCTAATTACGAACCAAGGCATCTCGACTGGGCGGCGAGTCGCGGGCGACGAGGTGTCTGCATATTGCCGAGGCCGCGTTTTTTTGGACGGTCAGCGCCCCGCCCACGGGGAGAGGCCATTTGAAGGATTTCCTCTCCTGCTCCCCCGCCTCAGTTTCGTCATCCTGGTCATCGTTCTTCTCATCGTCGTGGTCGTCGTCCTCCTCCTCCTCCTTTTCCTCCTCCTCCTCCTCCTCCTCCTCCTCCTCCTCCTCCTCCTCCTCCTCCTCCTATAATTTGATCCACGTGCATACACCTTCGGATTCGCATACTCAGAATGTGTAGTTTGCATGGACGGCGAGCCTGCCATATTGAGTACACCGAGGCGCACAAACAAAGCCTTGGTGTACCCACCACCATGGCATACTCAGGCGGAGGTGGGTCGCCAAAGTGATGCGTGTGCCGAGTCGCACCTATCGTGGTGGTCGCCGCCTTTGTGTCCCTCGTGGTCAGAGTTCCTGTGGTAGCTCCGGGCGCGCTCGGCGTCGGAGCCTGCATTGCGTTGGTCGCCGATGGCCAGTTCGTCGCGGAACGGCCCGTTGGCTCCTCTCGGCATCGCCATGCCCTTGCCATTGGCCGACGGGGGTTGGCCATGATTGTCGTTGCTTGCTGAACCAATGTATCAGTGGTTCAAGGATGGGGTCCTGAAGGATGGGGTCCTACGGATGGGAAGAGATCCAAGGGTGGCCTTGGGGACTGGACAATTGGCGTTTACTAAACGGCCCTGGGCGTGTACTAAGCAGCCCTGCCCTGTCCAATTCCTTCTTTGGGCGCGTTTACGAAACGACTTCGCGCGGCGGGGTGGATCTTATGGGGGTGGATTTCTTGACCCTCTATTAACACCCCACCCCTCAGGACCTAGTCTTTGAGCCCACAGATGGATCCAATGCATCAGTGGTTCCAGGACGGGGTCCTGAGGGATGGGGTCCTGAGGATAGGAAGGGATCCAAGTGTGGACTTACATTGCTTGATGCAGCCCGTCCTTAGGACCCCATCCCTCAGGACCCCGTCTTTGAAACCCCAACGAATGTGCGGTCAGGAAGGCTTGCTCCGGGTTCTGGAGAGCATCGTCGGCGGTGTTTGCGTTTTTTCTCCCCCAGCCTCCCTCCTCCTCCTCCTCCTCCTCCTCCTCCTCCTCCTCCTCCTCCTCCTCCTCCTCCTCCTCCTCCTCCTCCTCCTCCTCCTCCTCCTCCTCCTCCTCCTCCATCCTCCTCCTCTCCTCCTCCTCCTCCTCCTCCTCCTCCTCCTACTCCTCCTCCTCCTCCTCCCCTTCCCTCAGGACCCCGTCTTTGAATGTGCGGTCAGGAAGGCTTGCTCAGCGTGTCTATCGTTGGCGGGTTCTCTGGTCCGCGCCGCGCCTCGGCGCGGCACGCCGCCCACGATGCTCTGGGTTCGAAAGAGCATCGTCGGCGGTGTCTGCGGTTTTTTCCTCCGGCCCCCTCCTCCTCCTCCTCCGCCTCCCTTCCCCTTCCTCCTCGTCCTCCTCCTCCTCCTCATCCTCCCTTCCGCCTCCTTCTCCTTCTCCTCTTCCTCCTTCCATCTTCCTCCTCCTCCATCTCCTCCTCCTCCTCCTCCTCCTCCTCCCTTCCGCCTCCTTATCTTCCTCCTCCTCCTCCTCCTCCTCCCTCCTCCCTCCTCCCTCCTCCTCCTCCTCCCTCCTCCTCCTCCTCCTCCCTCCCTCCTCCTCCTCCTCATCCTCCTCCTTCTCCTCCTCCTCCTCCTCCTCCTCCTCCTCCTCCCTTCCGCCTCCTTCTCCTCCTCCTGCTCCCTCCTCCTCCTCCCTCCTCTCCTCACTCCTCTTCCTCCTCCTCCTCCGCGGAGCGGAGCGACGGGCTGTCCGCTGGCAGGGCACGGCGTATCTCTGGGGCCGCCGCCGTGACACGCTGAGCAAAACTTCTTGACCGTGTAAGGCGATCGTAATCGAATTCATTGTTTTGCCGATCGGCGCGGGCCCTCGCCCCCCCTCCTCCCCCCCACACGGAGTAGATCTCGGTTGTTTCTGGAACATGTTTCGAGCAGGTGGAGTCTACCTCATAGGACGCACTGTTACAAGCAGTCGCATTCAGCAGAGGTCTGGAGCCAGACTCCCCCTTCCCACCCCCCGTGAGCAATGTCGAAACGCCGAATAAGAAAACGTTCCCACAAGGTGCACCAGCTCTGTTGTTTGCAAATAGTGCGTCGCGTGTCATGCCGTTCCTACACTTTGGAATTCGTGCGCGTGCCGCCAGCTTTTTCAGGGCATGCGCCGTTTGAAGGGAAAAACGAGATCCAGCCATTGGCGCGGATTCTTGTGCCGCTACTTCCACGCGAGGTCTGACTGACAGCTATTTGTCTTCACCAGGATGTCTGAGGTGTTCCGCTACCGATCGGTCACAGACGCACTTCCATTGCACGTGTCTTACGTATGTCTGCTTGACGTTGCAACCGAGACGCGCTTGCGTGCTGACACCTCGCAGGGCTGCTTTGGAAACAGAAGCAGCACTGACTGGGAGGGCACCCAACTTGTCCACCGCGCGTGTGGCCAGGCGTTTGCGGTTCGCCGTGTCACGTTCGAGGCTGAGTTGCCATGTCTTCTGGTCGTCCTCCTCACTGTTCTCCTCTTCCTGCTCCGCGAGGCCTCCTCCTCATCCTCCTCCTCCTCGAGGCCTCCCTCCTGCTGCGATGGCCAGCCGCATCCCTCGAGACCTCGGGCGCAGGTCCCTCCCTGCTCCTGCCGCAGACTGTCGCGACGCATGGGCGGCGAGCGGGCTCGGATGAGGAGGAGGGAGGAGGAGGGAGGAGGAGGAGGAGGAGGAGGAGGAGGAGGAGGAGGAGGAGGAGGGATGGAGAAAGGTGCTGCGCGCAGGAGAAGGAGGAGGAGGAGGAGGAGGAGTAGGAGGAGGAGGAGGAGGAGGAGAAGGATAATGATGATGATGATGATGATGATGATGATGATGATGATGATGATGATGATGATGAAGAGGAGGAGGAGGATGGAGGAGGAAGGAGGAGGAGGAGGGAGGAGGGGGAGGAGGGGGGGAGGAGGAGGGGGAGGAGGTAGGAGGAGGAGGACAGAGAACGATGATGATGATGATGAGGAGGAGAGGGAGGAGGAGGAGAGGAGGAGGAGGAGGAGGAGGAGGAGGGGGAGAAGGGGGGAGGAGGAGGGGGAGGAGGAGATAGAGGAGGAGGAGGAGGAGGAGGAGGAGGAGGAGGAGGAGGAGGAGGGCTCGATGCAACGGTGCCCCGCAGGCATTCCTGCTCGTGCCGCGCCAGGCCGAGAAGAGCGCCGGGGCGAGCGCCGAGTGCGCCGCCGACGACGGTATCCCGTGCGCCTGGGTCCACGAGCGTGACTTCGCGATGCTCTCCAGCACGCAGGCGGCGGGCCGCTCCGAAGACTTCGCGTGCGGCTCGAGCGCGCGCTTGCGTCCTGATTCGTATGTCTCGGTATCGGGGGGATCCCTTCTTCTCGCCTCTGCGCGCCTCCTCCTCCTCCTCCTCCTCCTCCTCCTCCTCCTTCCTCCTCCTCCTCCTCCCTCCTCCTCCTCCTCCCTCCCCTCCTCCCCTCCTCTCCTCATCCTCCTCCTCCTCCTCCTCCTCCTCCTCCTCCTCCTGCTCCTCCTGCTCCTCCTCCTCCTCCTCCTGACCGTTGCTGGGCTCCGGGGCCGCCAAGAGAAGGGTTCGGGGTGGAGCGCCTTTCCTCCTCGAGAACCGGCCGAGAGTTCCAGAGGCCTGGCGACGCGGAACAAAACGCGTCGTCGGGCTTTTATGGTGATCGTGTTCTTATTCATTGTTTTGCCGATCGGCGCGGGCCCTCGCATCCCTCCCCTTCCCCCCCCCACGGAGCAGATCTTGGCTGTTTTTTGGCGCCTGTTTCGAGCAGGTGGAGCCTCTCCCAGAGGACGCACGGCCGCAAACAGTCGCACGAAGCAGAGGTCCGGAGCCAGACCCCCCCTTTCCCCCCCCTTGCCGCCCCATGTCGAAACGCCGAATAAAAAACGCTCACATGTCGATGGGGTCATGTGGTGCGCGGGAGGGACCCAGCGGAAACGAGCAAAGACAGCAAAAGCATGGCGCATTCCTTGTCCGTTATTGCCGTGGGATGAGGCGCACAGGGGGGATGAGAAGGGGAAGGAGGGGGGAGGAGGGAGAGGAGGAGGGGCAGGAGGAGGACGAGGCGGACAGGGAGGAGGGAGCTCAATGTCGCCCAACACGTCGTCGGGTGTCTGGGCACTGAGTCGAGAAAACGGACTGGAACATGCAGGATCGTTATCCATTCTGGGTACGGCTGGGTACAGCTCGCTTGCGCTTGGTCGGAAATGTGATGCAGAGAGAGAGAGAGAGAGAACAATTCTCTCGATATCAGTGTTGGAGCGTTGCAGGAGAAGGAGTAGGAGCGCAGATATGCAGGGGCGTCGTGGGTGTAGAGAAGGAGCATTGCAGGAGTAGGCATTGAATTCAAGCTAGCCAGGTCAAACGACTCAGCGGGCCCCACTCACCCGCATCCACCTTCAAGTCTTCGGCGGCAAATGATGGGCGCCTTGTATGTCTTCGGAGTTCCGTTTTTAGAGTGCATCAGCGTGCGCTGGCATGTGGCAATTAACGTCAATTCGTGCCGATCCCCTCTGATTCGCGTCGGTGTGGCGTCGAGCAGCGTCGGATAGCATCGACTCGCAAGAGACTAGCAAGATGGCAGTTGGAGGCTCCCCTGAGTCGCCATCGACCCTTCCGTGTGACTTCGGGACTAACGCGCGCCCCCACCTTCTCGCCGAGGCCTTCTTGGACGCTCCAACCTGGCGCAAAACCCTCCGTCCAGACCCAGGGGAGGGAGAGGGAGGGGTAAATCAGGAGGGAAAAAAACACACAGACACAATCATCGTCGATTCCCCAGAAAATATGGGAAAATATGGGAAGTGGGGGGGACGACAGAAACCCAGAAAGTATGGGGAAATATGGGGAATCATGTTATGTGTGTCTATTTATTTGTGTGTCCTGGGGCCCCTTCAGTAAAGCCCGCCCCGAAGGGGGAAGAGGGGGGCGGCGTAAAGGGCCTGTGGGCTCTGACGCTGGCCTGACGCGCAGCCCCACACCCAGGAAGCGGAAGACGGGCGCGCGCGCGCTTCGGCGTGGCCCCGCTTCCGACGACTGGGCCACCGGAAGACGCGCGCGCGGCGCTTCGGCGAGAGCACATCTCGCGCGCAGCGGTGCTCCCGGCAGGAAGGGCCATCCAGATTCTGTTACCAACCCTCTGGTGCTGGGTTCCCATTTGCAGTAGAGTATTGTGGTCTCCATCTCGTCGTCGTCGTCCTCCTCCTCCTCCTCCTCCTCCTCCTCCTCCTCCTCCTCCTCCTCTCACTCCTGATTGCTCCCCCCTGCTTCCCTCCTCCTGCCATCTGCTTCCTCCTCCTGCGCTGCTCACTGGGTGGTCCAGCAGAGTCGGGGGCCACGCGGCTACCACACCCTCCCCGCCCCAATCAGATTCCACCGCCCAGGGGCCACGTACCAGTCCCACGACCAGAACGCTCGCCCCCCCCCCCCCCCTGGTAAGGCATTGGTTCTGCTGTAGCGAACCCCCTGTGTAGTGGGGGAATCCCTGCTCACCCCCGCGGGGTAGTCGACTACCCCGCGCTCACGAGCACGGAGTAGTCCACTACCCCGCGCTCACGAGCACGGAGTAGTCGACTACCCCGCGCTCACGAGCACGGGCCCCCCCCCAGGGTTTTCGGGTCTCGTATCTGATGTGTTCGGGCGGAGCTGGCGAGGACAACACACACGCCAGGCCCAAGCCGGAGCCGATCGCCGATCGCAACTAGCGCAACACAGGTGTTTACAGGGATGACGTCGATTTGTTTTTGTGGTGTAACTGGTAGGGCATTCAGCCCCAGTGCGAGTACAGCAGGAGTTGAAGAAGTGCTGGCGTTGGCAAGGCACA